TCTGAGCCCCGCACACAGCCACACAGCGTCAATTACATGATAGGCAGAAAAGCGTTACCTAAAAAGATAACGAAGTCTGAAATGGCTATGTATGACTTCTTAGCCGTAATCAGTCAGCCATACCCCAGCTTCTGCAACCCCGGAGACTCGAAATCACGGGCTCTTTGACATTTCGCCTGCGATTGGGCATATTAACAGTGATAGTGGGACCAGAAATGGCCATAATGCCTCCATTGTCCTTATCGTCAATGCTTTTTACCCCTATCTATCCTTTTGTCATCGACCTTCATTTCAATGCACATTGTTCCAAGATTGATGGTTATAGAACACTGAATCTACTTAGATATTTTCTATTCTTTTATTATAAATGGCAGATGGACTTGCTGTTTCAGACAGCAGTCGTCGTTGGTACTTCTTGGGAATTTGATAACGGTTTTGAGCTCGTGGTTTCAACGAAGTTTACAGGTTTGCGGGAAAAAGATCACATATTCTGTGTACATTCAGCTTGTATTGCATTGCTATGGGGGCTTGTCACGGGTCAGGCGAAAGATAAGCTGAGTCAATATCGGAACCGGATTGGGGCAAGGCTCGCATCCACCCGATGACATAGAGTCCGCGCGTTCCATAGCAAGCGCCACACACAAGGAATGCAGCTGCACGCCTAGATTCAGGTTCGCGCCGCACCGTCCACTTGCAGCAAATGGCCGAACGACTATGGCAGCGAACTGGTGAATGGGAATGGAAACGCAGAGTTATAGTCGCCATCCTCACGGAACTTCAACACAGTTGCTCGGTCGCCTGCATCAACGACGGTGCGCTTAACGTTATTGCTCGGAAAACAGCAAACCGACGGGATCAGTCGCCCCTCTCAGGGCATACAGATAGCCAGACTACAACGGCTCTATGACGTCGAACTACTTGAGTGGACATCCTCACTGTGCCCCGTTTGCAGGACAACCCGGGCAATCGTGCACGGACAAGACCATGTTCGGCACACAAAGACGGGTTGACTAGCTTTAATGGGCACAATGTCAGAGCTAACCTACGATTGTCTTCACTCACATAGCCGGGTGGGCAGAGGGAGGCGTGTGTGCTGCGGATGCTGTGCAAGTCTGGCATCAATATGCACTCATTTAAACGCAAGTCACCCTCCTGCTTCCAGCATGCCCTGTTCAGATGGGGGACAAGGACAGCTGTGACTTTACGCATGTGCGTGTCGAGGAGTTAAGGTTAATCGGTTAAGCCCTAGCAGCTGCGATCTTCAGGCCCTGTTCCTTGCGGGAGAAAAGAAATCATGGGAGACCAGAGGGGTAGGAATAGTTTATTCTGTACGGAAGGAGTGGAGAATAGATAGGAGGAAGTCGACTGTCGGACGAGCGTGTGTCTGCACCCTAGCGGGGCAGTGTGAGAAGTAGATGGCATTGCCGGCAAAGACAAGAGGGACGGAAGTGGCCATTTCTAGCTTATTAGCTGTCGTCAGCCAGTCCTAGCGAGACCCTAATTATGCCCCACTCGAGCATCGAACTCACGACTTTTTTCATCAGCGTCAGAAGTCTTAAACATTGAGCCACGAGCTCGTCGTTTAGCCGGTGTCAGAAGCCCTAGCCTGGCGGCAGCAAGTCCAGCAGCCACCGAAAGCGGTCTTAGTCAGCCTTGAAGGTGATTGTTCGGA